AAACAGAAGATATGTTATTGCACCAGCCAAAATTGCTGTAATCAAGGGTGGCTAAAAACTTATCATACCCCACTGTATATGTCAGTAATCTCCAAAGCAATAACAAATGACAGATTTATAAATATGTGAAATAGATTCAGGGGAGAAAGATTGTTTAGCCTGTTACAGTAAACCAACTTTCTTAGCAGTAGACCCAGCAATTGATTCAATATAATCTTTTCAGTTCATGTCAGCCAAGAATGTAAGCCCGAGAAGGTGCAACGAGTCATTCTTCTGGAGGTTAGTATCAGCCATGGTGATGGGAAGCAGGACGAGGTCTTTCATGTGATTGATAGGGAGAAGTTTCGTTTTGGAGGCGTTAAAACAAACAAGCCATTTCTTGCCCCAGTTAACAACAGACTGTAGGTCATTTTTGAGATCAACTGCCAATATGACCTTATCGAAGTGATCAGACTTACTGTCGAAGCAAAAAAAGTTTAATATGTGACTACGCATGCGTCCCCTCTCTGTGCGCATGCGTAGTCACATCAACATTAGCATCACTTTAGTCCGATGAAATCCTAAAGTACGAAATGTGTCGCATACAAAAATATTTTCCATTTTGTCATAGATTTTCTTAAAATTCTGTCTTCTTAGAAATTTATGGTTCTTCCATCTTTCCTTTACAACTAGCATAAATAAAGCAACTAAAATTAAGATAAAAAGAAATAATCTTCAATGTGACATGTCTCTTCAGAGCATCGGAGATCATGGCTCTCCGCAGCTTCCAATTCTTTATAGATCATAATCACGTTTGTTTTTTTTTACCTATTAATATCTATTCACAAAAGCTGATCAGATAGGTAGCCTGCTATTTCTTCCTATTACATTTACCTTCGATATGTCCTGTGAGTGTTAAATTTTCCAAGCACTCCTTCCTAATTGTATTCCAGAATTTTCCAGCTGTCTCTTTCTAATTCTGAATGTAAGTGTCTATTTTGCCTCCATTTTCCTTAAGTCTTCTTCGTTGCTTGTGAGCTCCGTCACTTATTCTCAGCATCCTTCTGTAGGACTACATTCCTGTTGGCTACAGTCTCCTCTTCATCCGTGTGGAAGTTTTCCAGCGTTCACTTCCATATAAGAGGATTGATATTACAAAGCAGCTGAACACTCCTTTTCTTTGTTTTGTAATTAATTTTCTTGTTTCTTAATACTTTGCTTAGCTTTTACAAAGCATCTTTCGCTATTGAATTGCGCTTTCAGATTTCTGTGTCACGTTTGCCGTGTGTTTCTTTTTCAGATTGTTAAACCCTCGTACTTGTTCAATCCTTACGTCTCTAATCCATTGCTTTCATTTTGGTCGAACCCTCTTGCTCACACGCTCTTTGCTTTTCATGGTATTCCTATCATCCTTCTGTAGAACAACATTTCTGTAACCTTCGTCTCCTCATCATCTATGCGGAAATTTTACAGCATTCGCTTCCATAAAAAAAAAGAATTGATAGAAGTTCGGTACGCTTTTCTTTGTTTCTAACAAAATTTTCCTGTTTATTAATATGTTGTCTAGCTTTTGAAAGGCGTCTTCCGCTACTCCAAGGCATCTTCGGATTTCGGTGCCACATTTTCCGTTATCTGTAACACTTCCCAGTTATTTAGATTTTCTGTATCTACTTGACGTCTGTAATTCGTAACTAGCATTTTCGATTGTTCCTATTGCTAATAACTATACATTCTGTCTTCTTACAATCGATGATCAGTCCTTTATTCACGCTATCCTTTAGGATTTCCTGTCTATGATTTCTCATTACGCATCCCAGAAATTTCAACTATTTCTTTCTGATTTGATGCATAATTGTTCGTTTGGTTTCCATGTCCCTTGCAACGTCCTTATTGTTTACATGCTCTGAAAGGATGGTGAGAATACCACATTTTCACCATTCGTCTGAAGCATATCTCTGTTGGTTCATATTGAAAAGGATCTCTCATCAGTGGTTAACTGGGGCAGCAAATGGCTTGTAAAACTAAACTTCTCTCATTTAACCGCCAGGGAGAAACTTCACTGCCCTCCCTCATCTCGGTTGATGCCAGACTACATGAGAGCGTCTCACTGAGCTTTCTTGGCCTCACGTTTTCCAATGACTTGAGGTGGGACAACTATATCAATAGCTGCATCTACTGCAAGGAAAGTCGGTTCACTGTGTCATGCCAGAGGTTATTCATTTTACACATCTATAAATCTACCATTCGACCATGCATTGAATATTGTTGTCATATCTGGTCTGGTGCCCCTGCTGTTCATCTCGAGCTTCTCGACAAAATGCAAAGAAGGATCAGCAATGTAATCGGCCCTGACTTGGCATCTCGACTTCCGTCACTTTCTTATAGACGTGATGTGGCTTCTCTCTGTCTTTTCTACAAATATTTTCATGGCAACTACTCTAACGAGCTATTTTCCCCTGGTACCCCGACGACATGAATTTTAGCGTGCTACTAGATTGGCATCTAGGTCCCACCCTTTTACTGTTGTAACAGTTAATTATAACCGCCACTTCTATTCCAACAGTTTCTTTTCGCGCACTTCCCGACAGTGAAACTCTCTTCCTATTACTTTCTTCCCTGATAACTACAATCTTCAAAAATTTAAGTGCAACGTAAATCGCTATCTTTTGTTGCCTTGATTCCCGTTTTTCTTTTATCCTTTCCTCAATCCCCACTATACACAGACTTTTCACTTATTTACACTCTCTGTAACTTCCTGTGTGCTATTGACACTCCAGATTTGCTTGGGGTGAAAAAAAAATTCTCTTCATCCGGGAGGAAAATGTCTGGCATTCACTATAGGAGGATTTATGTTACATAGCAGTTCAGCACTCTTCTTTGTTTTTAAGGAAAATTTCGTGTTTCTTAATTCTTTGTTTAGTTTCTGGAATGCATCTTTGCTATTCCAATGAACCTTTAGACTTTGTTATCATATTTCCTATCCCTATTAAAAAATTTCCAAGATATTTAAACTTCTGTACTGGCTTAATTTTAACATCTCCAATTAGTAGCTCGCATGTTAAGCTTTTTTCTCTGACAACCGTACATTCTGTATTCTTATAGTCTATTCTTCAGGCTTTCCTTAACAGCATTGTCTCAGGATGTCCTTAATGTTTTCTCTACCTGCCATAAACACAGTGTCATCTGTGTCTCCTTTAGCTTGTCTGCATTTGTTTCTATTCAAACAATGGATATTTTTTAAATACCGGGTGTAATAACAAAATTTTCCAAATCGTGTAACAGCAAAATTGCCCAAATTTTACATTAAGCTTTGAAACCATGTACCTTAGAAATGATTAAAAATATCTTACTAAAATTCTGCGAGGTTTTTATGAGAGTATTGGACTCTACTTTGAGCAATAATAATGTATAAATACTCTGCAACTTTAACAGAAGAATCGTGATGAAATCGATCATAAACGAAAGTGTTATGTTCATCATTAATTAATCATAGCTAAGGAGAAGCTCATGAAGGATTGAAATAAAGTTCAAATATATATATATATATATATATATATATATATATATATATATATAATATTCCAGGATCATTTTCTTACTTATTCAAGGTGATCTTCGCCCTCTCTAACCTTCTAACTTTCTGTCTTGGAGTAACAAGGTGCGTACGATTTCATTTTCAAGTGTTTTTTCTCTGCTCTTTGAACTGTCATAGGCGAAACTCCTCATTTACGTGCCAAATGTCTTATAAGTTGAGTTGGATCTTTTCTAATGGATCTCTTTAGCGCTAAGTTGAAATGATGATCCCTCTTCCTGTTGTGACTTCCTGATCCAGCTTTCCTCTTTACTATTCTCATTTTTAAACTTATTCACCTTTCTCTTGATTGTTCTTGAATGAACTTTGAAAATGAAAGCCAGAGTATGAATGTTGATACCATTACTGAAGGCCTGAATGATCTTTTGGCTCTCAACATTGCTCAGTTGGGAAGACAGTCGGGCTGACACAAAGCGATTTTATCCTGTTCTCTTTCTAGCTGAATAACCGAAAGGATTTTTCAGTGATTCTTACGACAAATGCTGTCAAGATGGCTAAACGCTTTATTTGAAAACCTGGAGAAAAAAAGAAATTCAGTTAATTTAGTAGGGTTTTTTTTGGGGGGGTAGATATTAAACATTTGAGGGTGGACAATTATGCTGTTACACGATTTGGACAATTTTGCTGTTACACCCGGTATATTGAATTCGGGGTTGAAGGATGTCATTTTTAATATTCAGTCATGAGAGTCAGTGTCATCAGAAGCTGTTTCTTTATTTTACTACTAGAGGTTAGTCAATCTAAAATGTTGCAATAAAAAGGCGACTGTATGTTAACGAAAAACGAATCTAAAAATCTGATGATGCAAATGCCTCATCTCAAACAAAGAATCTGTAAGCTGAGTTCAAATTCCAGTCTACTTAGTTACAATCCTTTTCCCACAACTGTCTTTAAGAAAGGCATGAAACCATTTTTCTCCTTCCAGCTATGGGTTAAATACACATTTTGCTATTCAAATGCTCGTTCGGTTTTCAGTGTCACCTTTTCTATCCCCTGTTAAAACACTTCCCAAATATTTAAACTTCTCTACTTATTTAATTTTGTTATCTCCGATTTGTAGCTCCCATCTTAAGCGTTTTTCTCTGACAGCCATACATTCTGTATTCTTAAATTTGACAGTCTTTTCGTCAGGATTTCTTTTACAACTAGCATAAATAAAGCAACTAAAATTAAGATAAAAGAGATACGTATGGAAAATTAGCAAGTGTCGATAATGTTTTCGTGTGGCAGAAATCTAATAAAACTACGTTAATCTTTGAATCTGTTGTTCTAAGGTCGAGGCCATGTTTTGGAAAATGTTCACAACAACAGCTGCTTTACGGCTGATAAAGATATATGTAAACAAATTGGTGACTGATTAAAAAGTGAAGGTAAATTATTTAAGCCGGTCATTGGTGAGTGATTTTTTTATTCTCTATTCCAGTGAATCATGTCGAACCAGCATTTACATTCGTTTCTTGTCCTTTCTTTGTTAGCCGGGTTGGTTTGTCCGGTCCTCGGCCATGGCCGACTTGTGGATCCCCCCGGCAGGTCAAGCATGTGGCGATTTGGTTTTGCGACCCCCGCCAACTATAACGACAACCAACTTTACTGTGGAGGTCGAGGGGTGAGTATAACGTACAAGCGGTCATTACATAACATTGATGTTTTATTGATTTCATGGTTCAGAAAGTCGGTTATTCGCATCTGGCTAGATTAATAATCAATGTTCATGGCTCAAATTCGCGTTCCGCTGAAAAGAGTGGTAAATAAAAACCAGTAAACCCTTTCGTTTTGGCCTTCTGTCTGTCTCTCACACTCTCTCTCTCTCTCTCTCTCTCTCTCTCTCTCTCTCTGTTAACTATTTCTTTCGGCACCTGTTTCACCAGTCTTGGGTCTGATTACGGCGAAATAATTGGTTGTAAAAAAAATTACGATAATAGTCAGTCAGTTATTTGCCATGCGTGATACACGCTTTGGCGATAATGCATCTTTCGATACATGACTGACGAGGCAGATTTTTTCTCACATTGAGGCTGCCATTTCTTTCTGTAGTAAACCAGTTGCCATCCAAGGCTATAGAACCCGGTCTGTCCTGCTATTTACCCATAGCTGGGGGGGGGGAGGAGAAGAGGATTCATACCTTTCCCAAGGTTATTAGTACGTAAGTGAATGCAACGGAGTCGATTAGTTTCGAACTCAGCTCTCCGATTCTCCAGCCCGAGCCGCTATCCATTACTCCACCGTAATAGCAATAATGTAAACATTTTCTCTCTTCTTCTCTCTCTATATATATCTATCTATCTTTCTTTGTGCATAACCATACTCTTTCTCTATCCCTCTTTCGCCACCCTGGAACCATAATGAAGAGGAAAGAGATAGGACGGTTTTTAATAATAATAATAATAATAATAATAATAATAATAATAATTCCAGTAGACTCATGGAAGGGATTCCTGGAAGTACATGCCTTAAAGAAATCCATTTTTTTTTTTCTCACGAGTGAACACTTTACGAAAGGCTTTATCAATGTAAAATAGGTGTTGTTGTTTTTTTGTTTTGTTTTTTTAATTGCTCAGTGAAAAATGTTATGATGCTTTTCCGACCTTAGGTCTCTGGTCGGGACCCGGAAAGAAATGTGTACACATCAGAAATCAAATGAAATAAAACAACAACAACAACAACAACAACAACAACAACAACAATAATAATAATAATAATAATAATAATAATAATAATTAGTGGATTCGTTTTCTACGGCTTATCAACCCTTGCAGGTTATTTAAATTCAGAAAATATTTTTATATTATAATAATAATAATAATAATAATTATTATTATTATTATTATTATTATTATTTTGAGATAATAATGCTTTTTAGTGATACAAGTTTTATTAATTAACCAATAGCTGGGTATGGAAGATGTGGATTCATACGTAATCAGAATTTGATAAACAAACAAGTAATTCTAACATGGATATAAAGAGGGGGATCAATTCTATATTACTATCAATATATAAATTTTCCCCTCACTTTGTGGCCACAGTAGTTTCTATTCATTTATATTCCAGGAATGTAAGTAAATCTAAAAGACATGCCTGTGTAGTTAATCAGTATTTCATTGATTCATTGATTGATTGTTTTTTTACGGCTTATCAACCCTTTGTAGATTATTAAAAGCCAAAAATATTTTTTTGATTTAAGAAGTTTTTTTGAGATAATAATGGTTTTAGTGAGATAATTTACGCTAAATAACCTATAAATTGATCCCTCACTTTGTACCTAGTTTGTAGTTTCTATATATTTTTTATTCCAGTGAATATAAATAAACCTAAAAGACATTCCTGTGTAGCTAATCAGTATTTCATTGATTGATTCGTTTTCTACGGCTTATCAACCCTTTGCAGGTTATTTAAAGTCAAAAATGATAATGTGGATATAAAGTGGGGGATCAATTCTATATTACAATCAATATATAAACTGATCCCTCACTTTGTGGTCTCGGTAGTTGCTATATATTTATATTCCAGAAAATGCAAATAAATCTAAAAGACATGCCTGTGTAGCTAATCAGTATTTCATTGATTAATTCGTTTTCTACGGCTTATCAACCCACTGCAGGTTATTTAAAGCCAACATGTAATATTCCCAAGTGGTCACCCATACAGGTACTAACCAGGCTCGACGTTGTTTAACTTCGGTGATTGTACGTGAACATGTGTTTCAACGTGATGTGGCCGTAAGCAATAATAATAACAATAATCTCTATTATAATTCTGCTTTTTCCTCCCTCCCTTCGTTAGTTAGTTCCTTAGTTCGCACGACCGTTACACCCTGCCAGAACCTCATAAATAATGAACTATTCTGTTCTGTTGACTTGGAAATGACGGAGAAGACATACCAAAATGCCGCTTGTTTTCAGTGAGAAAATGAAATAAAGAAAGAAAGGAAATAGCAGTGTTTAACGTCTGTTTCAGTGAAATGGAAAAGTTATCGATTTCAAATCTTTTCATTTGTACCCCCTTACTTCTTGAAATAACATTTATGATTATTATTGCAATATTTCGTTAAAGTTGTTAAGCTAAAATGTTACGCCTTGCCAATACCTCATGAACGATGAAAGAAAGAAGGGAATACAATAGTGTTTAACATATCCTGCCAATACCTCATGAATAATGGACTATTCCGTTTTGATCACGTGAAGAGAGGGGAAAAGACACGTCTTGATTTCATTAAGAAAATGAAAGAAAGAAAGGAAGGAAGAAAGAATGAATGAATGAATGAATGAATGAATGAAATGAAAAAGAGTTGCCAATTTCAAATCTTTTCATTTGTACCCCCTTATTTCTTAAAATAACGATCAGCATTCTTATTTATGATTATTATTGAAGTTTTTTGTTAAAGTTGTTAAGTTCAAATATTTAATGATGTGGTAGGAGAATTTCTACTGATATTTTATTGTCATAGAACTCGCCATGAGCTTATTCAATCATTAACTTAACCCTTTGAGTCCAGCGTTCCTGAACAATTGTAACCCTTCTGCCTGGGCTCCTGAGTCAAAATTCGCAAATAATTGGTGTGTAATGTTTTATGGTAGATATAAAAATAGTTATAAGTGTTTATCCACCGTTCAACTGGTGGCTGTGCATATATACTGCATACTCTCTACTGAATGCATTTACAGTGATATGCCAACCCCGAAAAAGGTTTTATACAAATGCATCGCCAATGATTTTACTATAAAAATGTATTGAAAATTATTTTACGATAAAAATGGCTTGTCAATGGATTTACGATAAAAATGCATTGCATATGATTTTTACTTTAAAAATACATCACTCATGAGTTTACTTTATAAATGCATTGTCAATGATTTTATTACAAATCAAATTGTCAGGAATTTTACTATAAATATGCATCACAAGTATTTCTATTATAAAAATGCATTGTTCGTTGATTTTGTTTAGCGGCATCTCAAACTCTAATGCCAAAATTTAAACATTTTTTTATATAATTTTATGCTTTCAAGTACAGATATTTTGAACATAATTTTATAGTTTCACGGTAAAGCTATTTTTTTTTCAGATATATAGTTTGTAGATCATTTTTCCTTACCACTGTTCAACCGGTGGCTGGTCATTACGGCATTTTTCTCTACTACCGGTAAAGCGGTGGTCAGGGCTCAAAGGATTAAGAATTAAGATTCATCAGAATATTAAAATAGTAAAAACGTGAAATTTTAAACGGTTTTCTAGTGAAAATAGCAATAATAATAATAATATCGTATTGTACAATAGGCACTGCGACCAGAAATAATCGTTTTATTTTTCATATAGCATTCCTCTTCAGCATTTTATACATAGTTAACAAAGGGTCCGGTTTGCAATGTAAATTCATTGTAAATTGATTCCCCACTACGGAAGCCAAAGCAAAATATACTTACGATTTCTTAAAATGTAAAAAGAATAATAACAATTTTTCGAAATTTGTAGTCTGACGTGCTTAATCTGTAGAAGGGCCGGGTGTGTTTCAGTGTTGTTGAATTAGGACACATGCGTTTATTTCCTGCTAGAAGAAGGTCCAACTACAAGAAAATGCCGGACTCAAGTTGAGTCCAACCGAAGATGAAAAGAAAACAAACAAGACCGATATATATATATATATATATATATATATATATATAACTGATACATAGCAAAATGAACCCGTTATCATCTTTTATAAAAAAAAAAAAAAAGTTATTCGTGATATCGTGGCAATGTTTCCCAATCTTTTCTTTCATTTGACCCATTTGTTTTTTTTGTTTTTTGGCGTCAAAAACATTTCACGCCACATGAGCATGAATAGAAAAATTCCATGTAACACGAAATACATTTTATTTACAAAGCTTCATCTGCAATGATATCTGTCCTGACCGGGTTCAGTCACTTTCCCATGTTGGAAATTACTGATCTAGTGTATTTATTTCATACACTCCTGATCAAAAATTTAAGACCACTTGAAATTTTTTTTATAAGAAACTGTTTGTCATGGATACATTATAACCTTTTTCTTACTTAAGGTTACTAATTCTATAATCTAAAAGGTTATATAGAAAAAAAGCTATAATCCGATCAATTTATTCAGAAATGGACATTTTTATAAAATGAGGCGTTTTACACTTGATCAAAATTATAAGACCAGGGGTTATAAATTGTTAGATCTGGGGTAATTCCGATGGTTTTAGTTCAGTTAGAAATTAGCAATCACTGCGTAAAGGTATCACCATGCCTAAAGCAAGCAAACTTACCGAAGTTGAGCGTGCTCGAATTCTAGATTTCCATAATCAAGGTTTGTCACAGCGGACGATCGCAGCTAAGGTAAATCGCAGTAAAACTGTGATTTGCAACTTTCTAAAGGACAGTGCGAATTATGGAAACGCAAGGTCTACTGGTAGCCCCCCACCCAAATTTCTCCGGCATTGAGTAGGAGAATAAGACGGGTTGTTGTGAAAACCAGTGGACTTTCTTCTGGTCAAATTAAGGCAGCCACAGATTTTGATTGCAGTCCAGTAACCATCAGACGACACTTATGACAAAAAGTAAATAAAAAAGCGCAAACAAATTCCTCGACTGCTTCCACGTCACAAGTGAACCGTTTAAGGCTTGGTCGTGAATACCAAACGTTGGACATTGAGAAGTGGAAAAAAGTCTTGTTTTCTGATGAGAAAAAATTCAATTTAGATGGGCCTGATGGCTTTCAACGATATTAGTATAACAAAAACATGCCTCCTGAAATTTTCTCCACACGTCATAGTAATGGAGGGTCCTTAATGGTATGGGGTGCCTTTTCTTACAGAGGATCGAGCTCCAGATGGTGCAGGGTCGTCAGACAACGGCTGGTTATGTTAGCAAAAAGCATCGTTGGTGACGGAGGGCCATCGTTTGTGTGAGTATGGATGGTTATTCCAACAGGATAATGCTGCAATCCACACTGCATCCCGGATCTTGACCTTTCTACAAGAAAATGGGGTCCATCTCTTGAGACATCCTGCATGCTCACCGGACTTGAACCCAATTGAAAATGTTTGGGGATGGATGGCAAGAGATGCTTATCGAAATGGCAAACAATATCAACAAAAAATGAACTTTGTGAAGTTATCTTCAGAAGCTGGAGCAATATTCCTCGCAGCTTAATGGAAACACTAATTTCTAGCATGCCCCAAAGAATTTTTGAAGTCATCAAAACCAGTGGAGATAGAAGTCATTATTAAATTTGGTTGTTGAATGTTTTCGTACACTTTTCGTACAATTTTGTAGAATTTTTGTCTCTCGTCTTATAATTTTGATCAAGTGTAAAACGCCTCATTTTATAAAAATGTCAATTACTCAATAAAATGTTCGGATTATAACTTTTTGTCTACATAACCTTTTAGATTATAAAATTAGTAACCTTAAGTAAGAAATGTTTAAAATTTTTCCATGAAAAACAGTCTTTTTAAAAAAATTTCAAGTGGTCTTAAATTTTTGACCAGGAGTGTATTAATGTGAAAAAATAAAATAAAAAATATGATTACTTCTATTTGTAGTGTCTATTGTACAACCACATTAAAAATATTAATTCCCCCTCTATCTCTCTCATTCTCTTTCACTCTCCCTCTCTCACTCTCTTAATCTCTTCCACTCTCTTTCACTCTCCCACTCTCTCTCACTCTCTTTTTCTATCTTTCACTCTCCTTCTCTCTTACTCTCTTTCTCTCTTTCACTTTCACCCTCTTTCACTCTCTCTCTCTTTCACTCTCCTTCTCTCTCACTATCTCTTTCACTCTCCCTCTCATCTTCTTCCAATCTCCCTCTCTCTTTCACTCTCTTTCTTTCTTTCACTCTCCTTCTCTTTTCTCTCCCTCTCTCTTTCTCTCTCTGCAATTGATTTCCAACTCTTCTTCAAATTTCACAAACAGCTTCTCCATAATTCTGCAGCGTTTTCGCTTTCACACTATTTTCTTAACGCATATGATCCTGGCGTCATTATAAACTGACGCCTCCTTTTTTTTCCATATATTGTGAAGGTTATGCTTAAAATTCGTCTTTTCTTGATTTCAGATGAAAAAATTATAAGTAGTAGTTAGGTCTGCCTATCGCCCAGTTCATACTCCTTCTCCATCTTTTAGGATTGGGTTTCCGGCTGCTTCTAAAGTATACTTCAACCCTATACTTCTAACGTCTCCGCCTGAAATTTTATTTACTACTTATGTTTTCTTCTCAATAGGAGTAGACCGGTGCACCTATCGTCCGGTTCATGCTCCTTCCCGGTCCAGGAGCAGAGGTTTATCCCTCGTTTCCTGTTTTGGATTGAGTTTCTGGTTTATTCTAAAGTCTTTTCATTCTCTTGCGTCTTAGTGGCATTATCGTCTTCCCTACACGCAAGCAGCTAGTGTCCCACTGGCGGGCGGCCGCTGGCAACGCCAGCAGTCCTCTGGTGGCAGACGACCAGCGGGCCACTGGTGGACCTCTAGTCGAGACGAATACGCCGGCGGTCCCACAGCTAACGATAAACGATAGTGGCATGCCACCCAATGGGCTTGCGTGTAGGGCTTGGGATGAATTGATTAAAAACTGGTAAATTTTCCAACACATTTTTGTAAATACATTTTTTCTTTTTTTTTCTTTTTACACTGAAGATACTTTTTAATAGATTTATTTTTTTTATATTTTTATTTTTATTTTTAAAATGAAGGTATTTTATAAATATATTTTATTTTTAAAATGGACATTTTTTTGTAAATACATTTTATCTTTTTTTGCTTTTACACTGAAGGTATTTTTGTAAATATATTTTATTTTTAAAATGAACATTTTTGTAAATATATTTTATTTGATCTTTTTTTGTTTTTACACTGAAGATATTTTTAAATGGATTTAATTTTTTTTCTTTTTCTTTTTAAAATGAAGATATTTTTGTAAATATATTTTATTTTTAAAATGAACATTTTTTGTAAATATATTTTATTTTATTTTTTTTTGTTTTTACATTGAAGATATTTTTAAATGGATTTCATCTTTTTCTTTCTCTTTTTAAAATGAAGGTATTTTTGTAAATATATTTCATTTTCAAAATGAACATTTTTTTATAAATACATTTTATTTTCTTCCAGCATAAATGTAGCGTATGCGGGGACCCACTTAACAGTACTCGCGAAAACGAAGCTGGGGGTAAATATGCTCAAGGCATCATCACTCGTCATTATCGCAAAGGACAGGTGATCACCGTCGATGTCGAGCTAACAGCCAACCACTACGGCTATATGGCATTCAAACTATGTCCGAACAACAACATTCACAAGGCAATTACGGAGGAATGTTTAAATAGATACACATTGCAAATGGCCGACGGAAGTGGCGTTAAATACACGCTGAAAACATTACGGAAAGGCCATTACAAGATTGATCTCAAATTACCCGAAGGTCTCACTTGCAGCCAATGCGTCTTACAGTGGGTGTACCATTCGGGTGAGTAAAAAATAAAATTCTGACTTATTCACTAACACATTACAGTGTAACCCAGATGTAACCATATAATATGTAACCATATAAGAGACCCAGATATAAGAGAAACCCGGATATAAGAGAGATTTTCTCTGGTCCCAAATTAGAGCCCATACTTACCTAAACAAAATAGACCAAACCCGGACATAAGAGAAACCCGGATATAAGAGACTTTTTTCTCCGGTCCCGACAACTCTCTTATATTCAGGTTACATTGCATCTGTATTTACTACGCTTAGCTTGGCACAAGGCTTTATTTGAGAAACGCTCAATGACCTACAAAATTATCTATCTTCTTAGACATCGCATCAAATGTATCAAACACACACACACACACACATATATATATATATATGGGCACCTTGAGGTAGTGTAATGGTTAACAAGTTTGTCTCGCTACAACAATTACGAGTGAGTTCGATCCTCACTGGGTGCCCCATAATTTCCGTCTTGTGCCACATCTAAGCTACACTTGGAAATTTGCTAAGAGGTACCTCAAGGCGGTGTAATGATTAGCAAGCTTGCTTTGCTAGACGACTGAGTAGTGAGTTCGAGTCCCACTGGGTGCCCCCCCTACTTTCGGCATTGTGCTACATCTAAGCTACGCTTGGAAAATCATTATATATATATATATATATATATATATATATATATATATATATATATATATAGCATACTTGCCTTTAAAGGAGTGCCCTTTGCCG